AACATCAACTCACTCACTCACTCACCACTGGTGGAACCATCAACTCACCCACTCACTCACCACTGGTGGAAACATCAACTCACCCACTCACTCACCACTGGTGGAACCATCAACTCACTCACTCACTCACCACTGGTGGAACCATCAACTCACCCACTCACTCACCACTGGTGGGAACCATCAACTCACTCACTCACCACTGGTGGAACCATCAACTCACCCACTCACTCACCACTGGTGGAACCATCAACTCACTCACCCACTCACCACTGGTGGAACCATCAACTCACTCACTCACTCACCACTGGTGAGACATCAACTCACCACTCACTCACCACTGGTGGCAACCATCAACTCACTCACTCACTCACCACTGGTGGAACCATCAACTCACCCACTCACTCACCACTGGTGGGACATCAACTCACTCACTCACTCACCACTGGTGGGACATCAACTCACTCACTCACTCACCACTGGTGGAACCATCAACTCACTCACTCACCACTGGTGGAACCATCAACTCACTCACCCACTCACCACTGGTGGAACCATCAACTCACCCACTCACTCACCACTGGTGGCAACCATCAACTCACTCACCCACTCACCACTGGTGGAACCATCAACTCACTCGCTCACTCACCACTGGTGAGACATCAACTCACCACTCACTCACTCACCACTGGTGGAACCATCAACTCACTCACTCACCACTGGTGGCAACCATCAACTCACTCACTCACCACTGGTGGCAACCGGTGGCGATTTTCTGAACCGGTCTTGGGCCTCCCCTAGGTCGACTCAGCCTCAAATGAGCACCTGATGCAATGCGCAAAATAAAAACTTGGCCACTTGGGAGACAAAGGCGGCCGGGAGTGGTGCTGGCTCACCCACCCCGCTCACGTGCCGTGCCGATCTTCATAGGAGGTGATACTCGCTAACAGCACTTGCCGCAACAGTCGGTCGAGGCTATTCGGGGGCTCTTTGCCTTTGTTGATTGGCATTGGTGCTGTCAAAGGTGCGATGGTGGTGGGGGGGGGGGTCCGAGTTGCGTTGGTAGACCTCTGCCGCCTGGTGGCAAGTTGCTGCTACTGCCGTCAACAGAAGAGCAGAAGCCACGGGACCGGGTGAAGTTGTTGCGTTTAGGGGCCGTCCATAAATGACGTCACGCACCTAGGGGGGAGGGGGGGTCAGACATTTGTGACGATGTGTGACGAGAGGAGGGGGGGGGTGAGAAATGTGACGTCACATCAAAATGCGCAACTTTAAATAAATATAGACAACACGTTGTACTTAGTTAAATAGCCTTTTTAATAAATGTTTCTCCTCCAACATCAGAGTGTAGCGCCATATTAAATACGCACTACAATGACAATAGTTTAAAGCGGTTTGAAGCATGTTTTATTTTGGGGGGGGGGGGGTAGAGCTTTGTGACGTCATATTTGAGGGGGGGGGCTGACTTTTTGTGACGCCGTGTGACGAGGGGGGGGGGTCAAAAATCGTCCAAAATCGCGTGACGTCATTTATGGACGGCCTCTTATGTTGATTCGTTACGCGGGTTGCACAACTCTCACATAAAGCGGTTATTATACGACCGTAAAATCATACGTAAAATGTGAAAATGCAATATAAAAATATATAGTATGATAGCAAGAGGCGCCGGTCAAAAACACATGCGTTGAGATTATTGACATGTTGTTTGCTGTTATACATTTGCACGTGATAAGCCACTTTGTAGAGATATCATTTGTGTCCAGGTCGCTTCTTCTAAACAAGTTAATAACCTCAGTGGGCGTTGCCTGGTGGGATGGGGTTTAGTTTTGTTTGGGGGCCGTCCATAAATGACGTCACGCGATTTTGGCAGATTTTGACCCCCCTCCCCCCTCGTCACACGGCGTCACAAAAAGTCAGACCCCCCTCAAATATGACGTCACAAAGCTCTGCCCCCCCCCCCCAAACCATATTTCCATTTTGAAAATAAAACATGCTTCAAATCGCTTTACAACTATTGTCATTGAAGTGCGTATTTAATGTGGCGCTGCACTCTGATGTTGTCGGAGAAAACACGTATTAAAAAGGAGGCGTTTGAAAGATGAACTTTAGCATAAATTCACTTGAAAATATCCAACGTATAACTAAAACTGCAGATGTTCAGAATATTATAGTGAAATTCTCTTATAATTATTAAATATTGAAAGTAATTATAGCTATAAAAAATACTTGAAACTTTGTAGTAGAACGAAGCAAAATGGAGAGTACAATTATAACAATCAGACAGTATATTCATTCCACAGAATGAAAATCCCTGGTAGAATCATTAGAATCAAAATGTTTAATAACAATCATTCAAAACATTTACAAAATGTATGCTTCTCCATTCTCCCATGGAGAAGCACAATGCTCCTTCATGGAATAAATAATAAGTGACCTTAGTAAATTTAAATAATCAAATAGTTGTCATTGTAGTGCGTATTTAATGTGGCGCTGCACTCTGATGTTGTTGGAGAAAACATTTATTAAAAAGTATATTTAATTAAGTAGAACGTGTTGTCTATATTCATTTAAAGTTGCGCATTTTGATGTGACGTCACATTTCTCAAACCCCCCCTCCCTCCCTCGTCACACATCGTCACAAATGTATGACCCCCCCTCCCCCCTAGGTGCGTGACGTCATTTATGTACGGCCCCTTGTATGTTTTTGGGTGATTTGTTGATCTCTCTTGTACGTTTTGCATCGTTCGTTGTTGTAACGTTCTTACCACGCCACCTGCTGGTAATCTGTGAAATAAATATTCAGATTCTGAAGTCAGCTCCGTGTCTTGGTCTCATAGCGACAGAGCCGGCCCAGCCACTAAGCGACCCTTGCAATTGCAAAGGGCCCCGTGGCCAGCCGAGGGCTCCCTAGAGTCACTGCTAGCTAGTGGGTGAAAAAAATCCTACATCAAAGGGGCCTCCAACCAAATTTTGCTTAGGGCCCCCAAAGGTCTAGGGCCGGTTCTGCATAGCGACATACCGAGCGGGGGGTGATGGGAGATAACCGAGATGTCGATGAGCGGCATTGAGATTGCAGAGAATGTGGATCAGCAGCACGGAGTGCCGTGCACAACTCTCCCACCGCTACCCCGTGAGAGAGAGAGGTCGGCCCGTGGCAGTTGACATCAAAGATCTAAATTTCGATTTAAAGCGTTCGTGACTGCAGGGATTCATCTTCTTGGTTCTATCGGTAAAGTCACGTAGAATGGAAATAATAAAATAATAAAAGTAAAACATAATCATTAATAATTATTTTATTATGTTGAATTTTTATTATTTTATTATTTCCATTCGGTAAAGTCACGTAGAATGGAAAGAATAAAAAAAAGTAAATTATTAATTATTTCATTATTTATATTATTTTATTATTTCCATTCTACGTGACTTTACCGAAAGAACCAAGAAGATCAAAGGTCTAGTTCCGAGAGAGCCCTTCAAAGCGACCCTCTGGCGCGTACAGTGGAGGCCGTCCATAAATGACGTCACGCACCGAGGGGGGTGGGAGGGGGGGTCAGACATTTGTGACGATGTGTGACGAGGGGGGGAGGGGGGTTTGAGAAATGTGATGTCACATCAAAATGCGCAACTTTAAATAAATATTAATTAAACAGAATTGTTATAACAACACAGATTTTGATTAATTTTCATTATAATTTTTTTATTATGAAAATTTACTAAGGTCACCTTTTATTCATTCCATGATGGAACATTTTGCTTCTCCATGGGAGAATGGAGAAGCATACATTTTGTAAATGTTTTGAATGATTGTTATTAAACATTCTAATGATTCTACCAGGGCTTTTCATTCTGTGAAATGAATATATGATTGTTATAATTGTATTTTCCATTTTGCTTCGTTTTACTACAAAGTTTCAAGTATTTTTTTATAGTTATAATTACTTTCAATATTGTAGAATTATCAGATAATTTCATTATAATATTCTGAACATCTGCAGTTTTAGTTAGACGTTGAATATTTTCAAGTGAAATTTATGATGTCAGCTTTCCAACGCCTCCTTTTTAATACGTGTTTTCTCCTACAACATCAGAGTGTAGCGTCACATTAAATACGTACTACAATGACAATAGTTTTAGTTTAAATTGATTTGAAGCATGTTTTATTTGAAAAATTGAAATATGGTTTTGGGGGGGGGGGGCAGATCTTTGTGACGTCATATTTGAGGGGGGTCTGACTTTTTGTGACGCCGTGTGACGGGGGGGGGGGGGGGTGAAAAAATCGGCCAAAATCGCGTGACGTCATTTATGGACGGCCCCATGGAGGAAAAACACTTTCACACCTCGCATGGCAAACTGATATGCTGTTGTTATATTTATTCAGGGGTGCAATGCACTCACCCACACACGCTCTCACTCACCCACACTCTCACCCACCCTCTCACTCACCCACTCTCTCACCCACCCACACTCTCACCCACCCACACACTCACCCACACACTCCCTCACTCACCCACACTCTCACCCACACACTCACCCACCCACACACTCTCTCACTCACCCACACACTCTCACTCACCCACACACTCTCTCACTCACCCACACTCTCACTCACCCACTCTCTCACCCACCCACACTCTCACCCACCCACACTCTCACCCACTCACACACTCACCCACCCACACACTCTCTCACTCACTCACCCATCCACACACTCACCCACCCACACACTCTCTCACTCACCCACACACGCTCTCACTGACCCACACACTCACTCACCCACCCACACACTCACCCACCCACACACTCTCTCACTCACTCACCCACCCACACACTCACCCACCCACACACTCTCTCACTCACTCACCCACCCACACACTCACCCACCCACCCACACTCTCACTCACCCACACTCTCTCTCTGACACCCCACCGCCCTCCCCCCACGTGGTAACGTGATGACGTAAGGACGTGGTGACGTGATGACGTACTGACGTGGTGACGTGATGACGTAGTGACGTGGTGACGTGGCGTCTCTCCAAGTGCACCGGTGACGTGCCGGCCGCTGAGGAAGTGGAGAGACGCGCGGAGAGACACAGTGAGACACACACAGACAGACACAGTGAGACACACACAGTGAGACACACACAGACAGACACACACAGTGAGACACACACAGTGAGACACACACAGACAGACACACAGACACACACAGTGAGACACACACAGTGAGACACACAGACACACACAGACACACACAGTGAGACACACACAGTGAGACACACACAGTGAGACACACAGACACACACAGTGAGACACACACAGTGAGACACACACAGACAGACACACAGACACACACAGTGAGACACAGTGAGACACACACAGACAGACACACAGACACACACAGTGAGACACAGTGAGACACACACAGACAGACACACAGACACACACAGTGAGACACAGTGAGACACACACAGACAGACACACAGATACACACAGTGAGACACACACAGTGAGACACACACAGACAGACACACAGACACACACAGTGAGACACACACAGACACACACAGTGAGACACACACAGTGAGACACACACAGACACACACAGTGAGACACACACAGTGAGACACACACAGACAGACACACACAGACACACACAGTGAGACACAGTGAGACACACACAGACAGACACACACAGACACACACAGTGAGAGACACACAGTGAGACACACACAGACACACACACAGAGGTCGACCCCTCCGCCACGTTAGCGCAACAGGTGAGCACACCTATGTGTACGTGTCTGTGTGTACGTGTCTGTGTGTGTGTCTGTGTGTCTCTGTGTGTGTTTGTGTGTACGTGTCTGTGTGTTTGTGTGTACGTGTGTGTGTGTCTCTGTGTGTGTGTCTGTGTGTACGTGTCATCTCAGTCATCTCAGTCAGTCGGCCCGTGGCACCTGGGTCTGCTTCGTGACCTGCCGGCGGGTGTCCGACACTTCACGTGGCCTCAAGGTGCACATGGTCTGGCACAAGCGTCGTGGTGACGTCACCGCCACTTAGTGGCGAATGGCGGTTGTTGTTGTTGTGTTGTGTGTATGTGCGTGGCTCTGTGTGTGTATCTGTGTGCTCGCTAACAGCACTTGCCCCTATAGTCTGTTAAGGCTATACAGGGGATCTTTGTCTTTGTATCTGTGTGTCTGTGTGTGTCTCTGTGTATCTGTGTGTGTCTGTGTGTCTCTGTGTGTGTGTCTGTGTGTGTGTCTCTGTGTGTGTATGTCTGTGTGTGTGTGTCTGTGTGTGTCTGTGTGTTTCTGTGTGTGTCTGTGTGTCTCTGTGTGTGTGTGTGTGTGTCTCTGTGTGTGTCTCTGTGTGTGTGTGTCTGTGTGTGTCTCTGTGTGTGTCTGTGTGTGTCTGTGTGTTTCTGTGTGTCTCTGTGTGTGTGTGTGTGTCCGTGTGTGTGTCTGTGTGTGTCTCTGTGTGTGTGTCTCACTGTGTGATAATTATCATTTACGTCGATGTGCGGAGCAGCAGAGCGGGACACGATTGCGTCATCGCGTCACCTGTCACGTCACCTGTCACCCTCACCTGTTACGTCACCTGTCACCCTCACCTGTCACGTCACCTGTCACCCTCACCTGTCCCACTCATGTCGCCTGTTCCCTACACTCACGCAGCGCGTGTATATCCTGTCAATACATGTACAGTATGTGCATACAGTAAATCTGTGTATACACTTACATACACACACATCAACAGCCCTGTATGTACACACACTATGTATGTATACACATTAACACAGTGTACACACTAACATACCACACACACACTGTATATAAACACACTATATATGTGTATATACATTAACACAGTGTACACACTTACCACACACATCAACAGGCCTGTATGTACACACACTATGTATGTGAATACACATTAACACTGTAAGTCACTAAACAATGCTCAATCACCATGTGGGGCGGCGAGGGGAGTTCACTCAGCCCATCATACCTTCCTCGGGGGACGATAAAACGAGTACCACTTCGTTGGCAGGTCAAAAGTGCTTGTATTGTGGATAGACTCGATCCCAGCCACGGGAACGTGGAGTTTCCACCACTGGCTGTGCAGGCCTGTACACGGGAGATGAGCGACAATGCATCGATGCTCGCTTGAGCTTCCAGGAGGCGTTCACGCAACAGTGGATAATCCGTGGTTGTTGTTGCCGCTGCTGCTGATGATGATGATGTTGCTGATTACGATATTTCTCTGCTTCTGTCTCTGTCCGCGAGGTCCCCCTGCTCACTGCCCAATGATACGGCAGCTCCCATCTCAAGTCTCGTGGTGATCAGGGTCACAAGGGGCGGAGGAGAAAGAGGAGGAGGAGAAAGAGGAGGAGGAGAAAGAGGAGGAGGAGGGGGAGGAGGAGGAGGGGGCGGAGGAGAAAGAGGAGGAGGAGAAAGAGGAGGAGGAGAAAGAGGAGGAGGAGGAGGTGCATGAGGAGGAGATGGAAGCAGCCGAGTAGAGAATGAGCACCTCGGATTAACACGGTAGCGGCTACGCACAGTGCGAAAGAAGACCAACATCCTGCACACACAGACGGTAGAGGAGGGTCGAGGGGGGGGGGAGGAAGAGGAGGACAGGAGATCGAGGAGGAAGAGGAGGAGGAGAAGAAGGGAGGAAGAGCAGGAGAGGAGTTAGAGGAGGAGGACACAGAAGGGATAGAGGAGGTAGAGGAGGAGGCGCTCTCTGGATGACTGAGACCCCCTCGCCGGCGCTCGCTATGGGCTATGAACACCGCCCCTTGGGGTCCCCTTCCTCCTCCTCCTCCTTCGTGCTCTCCACGATGGACGACGAGAAGAGCCTGGCCCCGCGCGGAGCCAGCGACACCAAGACGCTGTGGTCACGGTGAGCACCACACGCGCCCCGTCCGTACGTGCGCAGTTGTGCGTTACTGCCCCCCCCCCCCACCAATGCTCCTGTGTGACATGAAATAAATATTACTTTAAATTTCGATTTAAAGCTTTCGTGACTGCAGGGATTCATCTTCTTGGTTCTTTCGGTAAAGTCACGTAGAAGGGAAATAATAAAATAATAAAAATAAAACAATAAAATAAAATAATTCTCACGACGTTTCGGCCACAACGCAAGCAGCCGTCTTCAGGTGGAGAACAGGTCTGTCGAGAAGGCAGACTCTACCGAAAGAACCAAGAAAATATTACTTTATTTACAATTTTTCACTTCATGCAAGTCTCTAACTGTGACGGTCTGTGGGTGTCCATGAGTCCATTGGTCTCCATATAAGTTATTGGTGACCAAGCCAGGGCCATATTTGAGTACCTGGTTTAATTATAACCCAGTCTCTGCGAGTGTTAGTCTATAGGTCTGCGTGAGTCTATGGGTCTCTGTGTGAGTCTATAGGGCCCTGTGTGAGTCTATGGGTCTCTGTGTGAGTCTATGGGTCTCTGTGTGAGTCTATGGGTTTGTGTGAGTCTATGGGTCTTTGTATGAGTCTATGGGTCTCTGTGTGAGTTTTTGGGTCTCTATGTGAGTCTATGGGTCTCTGTGTGAGGCTATGGGTCTCTGTGTGAGTCTATAGGGCCCTGTGTGAGTCTATGGGTCTCTGTGTGAGTCTATGGGTCTCTGTGTGAGGCTATGGGTCTCTGTGTGAGTCTATAGGGCCCTGTGTGAGTCTATGGGTCTCTGTGTGAGTCTATGGGTCTCTGTGTGAGTCTATGGGTTTGTGTGAGTCTATGGGTCCCCGCCCCACTAGCCCCCACCCCTCCCGCCCACACCGGGTCTCCCAGCCATCGGCACAGCCAACATTTATGATCATTTATTAACTATTTGCATATCACGTGGCATTTTGGCACAAGGCCACAACACGAGGCAACCCAAGCGGCATGTGTTTAAGGGACCACACCCTGCTGATGAGGTTCGAATGAATTGAAACCGGGCCAGGGTCATTGCCACTTAAACAAAATGCTGCTGGAGGCCTATGATGTTGTCCTAAGTTTTTTTTTACAGCAGTTTTCCATACGAGATTTTATCTATGAACAGAGAGACAGACCGAAGTCGTGAATTTATGCAAAATTTCATCGATCAAATCTGCCACACAGCCGGGTGGTGCAGAGGTCAGAGACGGCTGAGCCGGCAACGTTGATAGGCCTGGGTTCGAACCAACAGCGTAGCGAGTCCCATAGACATATGTCGAGACGGATAGACTTAGACGTAGGGACACACTGACTTCCGTAGAGACCCGTACACTCACGTGGAGACCCATAGACTCACATCTAGATGCATAGGCTAACATAGAGACCCATAGACTCACACAGACCCATAGACTCGTATAGACCGATTTGTGATCCCTGAACTACGTTCCTGTATCTGTGACTTTTTTTTGTCTCGGTTATGTTTGTGTCTGTGTGTGTGCTGCCCTACGAACCCGGCGATCCGAGTTCGATTCCCGCTCGTGGCCACCACCAACACTGGTGGCGATGACCTGACCCGGTCCGGGGCCTCCCCTAGGGTCGACTTAGCCTCAAACGAGTACTTGGCACGATGGGTGCTAGCACACCCATCAGGAGGAATCCGATGAGCTATAAAGCTCTTTTTATCACAGACGTCCCACCCCGTGGCTTGTCGCGCTCGCTTGACGGCACTTGCCCCGACACTGTCGCCTAAGGCTATGCGGGGGGGGGGGGGGGGCGATAAGGTTTGTCACGTGAACACAGTGACAATTAGTCACTAGTTCAGCACACCGGTTGTGTGCTTGGAGAGTAAACCCGCTACAACATTTACAACTCGAGTGCCGTGACGTGTCGCCGGCAATTACTACAGCCAGCCTGGTCAGGCTGAGCAACGCATCGTTGATATTTACGAGATCTAACCCCAAGAAAAAACCAAATCCGCCCTCTGTTGGGGCTTGGTCACGGAAGCGTCCGACGTGGTTTCAACTGACGGGGGCGCGGGGGGAACTTCGCTTTTACTCCGTGGCAGGCAGGAGCTGCGCGTGTGGGTGGCCGTCCTGTTCTGCGGGAACTGCCTGCTGTACTGCGCGCGCGCCGCGCCGGCCGTCTGCGCCGTGGTGCTGAGCGCCCGCTTCGGCTGGGACAAGGCGCAGGCAGGCACCATGCTGGGCAGCTTCTTCTGGGGCTACGCGCTCACCCAGATCGTGGGGGGCCACCTGAGCGACAGGTGAGCAGAGTTGCCCTCCTTAAGCCCTCCACGGCGATGGGTTAATGCCACACCACCGCGGTATTGACCGGGGCGGCCTGCAAGGTTCAAACCGCCGGGTTTGGACAACGGAGGTCGGAGTCTGAGCAGCGACCGTCGCCCACAATTATTTTTTTTCTTATTTTATATTTATTTTATATTTATATTTAACTGGAGCGCTTGAGCAGCTCAAGGTGCTCTCTCTAATAAAGCTTAAGAGCGGCAGGAACAAGCGAGTGATGTGGTGTGTTTTCTCTCTCTCCGTGTGTCCTCGTGTTGTAGTATTTCCTGCAGTCACGAAACCTCCAAATCTCTCATTGACATGCTCATTTCTCTACCCCCCCCTCTCTCTCTCTGCCCCCCTCTCTCTCTATTTAAGGCCTCGATACAGAGGCGTTGTTTCTCTGTGTGCCTATGTGTGTGTCTCTCTCTGTGTGTCTCTGTGTTATCTCTCTCTGCTTATGTGTCTGTCCGTGTGTCTCCGTGTCTGTGTTTTGTCTCTCTGGAAGAACGTAATCAACCAGGTAGGTTGTTGACTGTTATGTTAGCCGACTCCCTGTGTTGTATTGCATTGAATTTCTAAGTTCACTAGGTTAGTTTTCTCTTTCATTTGTACCTGATGATGATTGCTTGTGTTGCAATCGAAACGTCGTATGCAATTATTTAATTTATTTTCCTTTTCACGTGACTTTACCGAAAGAACCAAAGAATAACAAGCGAGTGATTTCGCTGGGCAGGGGCAGTGCAAGGGCCGAGGAATGAGCGACTGTAACAGAGGGCACGTGGGGGTCACGACAAGGACATAGGACAGGGACGGGACAGAGTGGAGGGGCGAGGGGGTGTGGGGGAAGGGAGTAGGGCAATGGGGAAGAGGAGAGGGGGCAGCCCTGCAATTGCTTACAGAAGGGACCTCGTGTCGAGCGAGCGCTGATGATGTCGTCATTGAGTCGGGTTGCTTGTGTGCTTGTGGTTGGGTCTGGTTGACCCTGACCGCGACCTCTCGCCCGGTCGTCCAGGATTGGTGGAGACAAGATGATCTGCCTGTCGATGGGCTCGTGGGGGCTGGTCACGCTCATGATGCCCGTGGTGGCGCATCTCAGCGAGCAGCCGCTGCCTCAGCTCATCTTCGTCCGCTTCTGCACGGGCTTCCTGCAGGGTGCGGCACACGCGCACACACACGTGCACGCACGCACACACACACGCGCACACACACACACGCGGACGCACACACGCGCACACACACGTGCACGCACGCACACACACACGCGCACACACACACACGCGGACGCACACACGCGCACACACACGTGCACGCACGCACACAGACACGCGCACACACACACGCGCACGCACACACACAAGCGCACAGACACACGCACAGGCACGCGCGTACGCACACAAACACACACACTTATGTACATGTACGCACCCGCGTGACCTACGCAGGCTTTTAGTACACTTCCCCTCGATGACGAGCCTGTTGTTTATGTTGTTGTTGTTGTTGTTGATGTTGTTGATGTTGTTGTTGATGTTGTTGTTGTTTAGGGGTCCACTTCCCCTCCATGTCGAGCCTGTTCAGCTCGCGCGTGCCGGAGAGCGAGCGCGCCTTCATCGCCAGCACCGCCTGCTCCGGCTCGCACTTCGGGTGAGCCGTGCTCTATCCACTGCTGCCTCCTTGTAGCTCTTCCACTGCTACTGCCGTGGTGACTTTCCCCGCGATCTTCACTCGATGACTCCTCACTCACTCCAATACCCGCTCAGTCAACGCAATACAGATCACAACAACATACTCACACACTCAATCTCCGACTCACTCACTACTCACCCAACCGCTCACTTACTCACCCACTGGCTCACTCACCCTCTCAATCACCACACTGAAGGTCACATCACTTTCTGTCTATTCGCTCTCGCTGTGGAATTCCCCAGGGGCGGTGATTTAGGTAATGTGGTGCTGGTGGTGATGGTGATGTGGTGATGATGGTGATGGTGGTGCTGGTGGTGATGGTGCTGGTGGTGATGGTGATGATGGTGCTGGTGGTGATGTGGTGCTGGTGGTGCTGGTGGTGCTGTTGGTGATGGTGTTGTGGTGATGCCCGCGCTGTGTGTGCGGGTGCGTGTGCATGCAGGGCACTGGTGGTAGGTGGTATCGGGTACCTGCTGATGGAGGCCTATGGGTGGGAGTCTCTGTTCATCCTCACCGGACTCAGCTCCATGCTCTGGGCCTACCTCGTGTGGAGGTTTCTCATCCAGAAGAGAGGTGACCCACAACAACTACAAAGATAAAGTTCCCTCCCCCCCGTGTAGCCCCGCGGGGACTGTAGGAGCAAGCAACGCCTTCGAAGGCCTGGACCGTGCGCTTCGAAGGGGTGGTGGTGCTGCCCTCACTGCACTCGGCCACCTTTGTCTCCCCAGTGCTGATGCTTACACATCATAGAGGGTCTCCGGGTTTTTCTAGTGCAGTGCGCTAACCACTGCACTACCGATCCCCACCCTCAACCGCACACACACGCATCACCAACAACCACACACGCACGCACACCAACAACCGCGCACACACGCAGACACTCGTGCCAAGAACGACACGCAACACACTCACACCAATAACCACAAAAGAGAAAAGACAAAGATCCCCCGTGTAGCCTTAACAGACTTTTGGGGCAAGTGCTGTTAGTGAGCACCTATGAAGGCCACTACGGCACACGAGGGGGTGGGTGGCCAGCATCACGCCCGACCGCCTTTGTCTCCCCAGTGGCCCAGGACTGGTCCAGATAATCGTAACTGGTGTTGGCCGTGAGCGGGAATCGAACCCAGGTCACCGGGTTCATAGCGCAGCACGCTAACCGCTACACTACCGCTCCCCATACACCAAGAAACTCGCACACACTCACACACAATAGCACATACGTGCAGATTCGCGCACACACACTCACACACAAAGACAAAGATCGCACATATAGCCTTAAGCAAATGCTGTTAGCCAGCACACACACACAGACATGCACACACTCATATGCACACACACATCCCAACAGACGGATGAAATGACATCACCGTTGCAAATATTTGCTTCAAGGTTCTGGCGAAATGTCAAAAGAAAACAATTACATTTACGTGGCTTTTCATTTTTAATGACGAGAGCAAACATCATCCTCCTTTTTGTCGCGGAGGGGATCAGACGGAGGGTTATGCAGGGATGGAAATTTGTGCATTCATCGCCAACGGTCAGATCCGGTCGTGCGGTAGGCCACCGCCGTTTGCTCGATTGTCGCTCCCCGCGCGGCCGCGTTCGTCCGGGACCTCCGATTAGCACGGTTGGCTACGTACGGTGCGAAATCAGTTCAGCGCACGTACGTACGTGGACAGCCGTGTGGCGTCGCTTTCTCCGCTTTGGCCACCGCTCCATAGTTCTGTTCGATTTTACTTCTTTTATTTTACCAGGTAAGGCTCCACTGAGCTATCACATAGACCTGGTCACCAGAAATGACGGCTCAACGAAGTGGGCTTGTCATCACGTGGAAATGTATGGCAGCCAAATCCTCTAAACGTGTGACGTTGATTCTAAACGTGGATGGGGGGAAAACCGGAGGACCCGGTGAAAAATCCACGCGACCACTGCGAGAGAGACACTGCAAACTCCAAATATACAGCAGCAGGCGTCAGGGTCAGGATCGAACCCACGACTCTCCGTATACCAGGCGACGTAGGTAACATCTCGCCCACCGCCCATCGCCCATCGTCGTCGCCGCGGTCGGGCGTGATGTCGACCACCCCCACATCCTCGTGTGCCGTGTCGTGGAGCGTGGGGGATCTTTGTCTTTGGTTTGTTTACAGAATATCTACGTGCATGGTACACGTGAGCTGCTGCTGTGAAGCGGATTTCCCAGAGCTACCTCTGATTTCCCTTTGAATGTACCAGTTTCGCTCTCCGTGTTTTCTCATCCGCACGTCTCCCCGCGGGCCCGTGCAGGCAACGTCATCGCCATGCAGTCGCTCTACAGCAGCCTGTGGCCCACGACCCCGGGCAAGTCTCCCGTGCCGTGGGGGAGAATCCTCACCAAGCCGCCCGTGTGGTACGTGCGTGTGGTACGTGCGTGTGGTACGTGCGTGTGGTACGTGCGTGTGGTACGTGCGTGTGGTACGTGCGTGTGGTACGTGCGTGTGGTACGTGCGTGTGGTACGTGCGTGTGGTACGTGCGTGTGCGTGAGCATGGGCGGTCTCCGACCTCTCTTCGCAGCTCTACAACGACCTCGTCACTTTACGGCTCCTTTCACCCCGTTGGACCTTTAAAATGTTTATATATTTTTTTTTATTTGACCAGGTATGACCCCACTGAGCTATGTAGCTCTTTTTCAGAAGCGACCTGGCCACCACAAATGATAGCTCAATGAAGTGGGCTTATCGCGTGGACATCAATAGCTGCGGCCAAATACTCACGACGTTGATTCTGAAATGTGGAGGGGGAAAGCGTCAAGCATCCCGGAGGGAAATCCACGCGCCCACGCGGAGAGAGACACGCCGACTCCAAATATAGAGCAGCAGCAGGCGTCAGGGTCGCAATCGAACCCACGACCTCCTTCATACAAGGCGAGGTAGTCAACATCTCCTAGCCACCGTGATGATGATGAGATAAAAAGAGAGACACGCAAACTCCAAATATACAGCAGCAGGCGTCAGGGTCGCGATCGAACCCACGACCTCCTGCATACAAGGCGAGGTAGTCAACATCTCCTAGCCACCGTGATGATGATGAGATAGAAAGAGAGACACGCCGACTCCAAATATAGAGCAGCAGCAGGCGTCAGGGTCGCGATCGAACCCACGACCTCCTCCATACCAGGCGAGGTAGTCAACATCTCACCACCATGGTCATCCTCTTTCCGTGTCCCCTCTCCTGCCCCCCCCCCCCCCCCCCCCAGGGCCGTGATCATCGCTCACTTCTGCCTCAACAACTGCTTTTACATCATGCTGTCGTGGTTACCCACCTACTTCCACGAGACCTTCAAGGACTCCAAGGTACGTTGGCCCTCTGGCCTCTGGGCTGCCCTCCCCCTTCCTGTTGTCTGTGCGACGCGCCGCCGTGGTCACGTGCCCGCAGACGAGGGTTTTCAATCGGGGAAAATCGGCTGAGGTGCGTTGATGCGTCACCTCCGTCTGCCCGCCCGTCCGTCTGTAACGGGTGGGCCGGTGGTGGTCAGGACAGCTCGCGCGTGTGTGTAGCTCCTCGTGTGTATGTATATGCATGAGCTGTTGTGACTGGCCGCCATGGTGGCGAGATGTTAACTGCCTCGCCTGGTATACAAGAGGCTCCGTTGTCAATCCCCGGTTGCCGCCCACGCAGGGCTGGGTGTTCAACGTCGTTCCCTGGCTCGTCTCCATCCCCATGGCGATGCTGAGCGGATACCTCGCCGATCTCCTCATCCGCCACGGTAGGTTCCTCCTTCCCTTTCCTCTTTTTTCCCTCCCTCCCTCCCTCCCTCCCTCCCTCCCTCCCTCCCTCCCTCCCTCCCTCCCTCCTTCCCGTCCATCCATCTCAGTCTTCTTCTTCCCACCCAACTTCTCCTCTCCTCTCCACGCATTAATCCCGATGAGCTATAGTGACCCGCGACCTTGTGTGACCCGCGACCTTGTGTGACCCGCGACCTTGTGTGACCCGCGACCTTGTGTGACCCGCGACCTTGTGTGACCCGCGACCTTGTGTGACCCCACCTTGTGTGACCCGCGACCTTGTGTGACCCGCGACCTTGTGTGACCCGCGACCTTGTGTGACCCGCGACCTTGTGTGACCCGCGACCTTGTGTGACCCCACCTTGTGTGACCCGCGACCTTGTGTGACCCGCGACCTTGTGTGACCCCACCTTGTGTGACCCGCGACCTTGTGTGACCCCACCTTGTGCCTGGCAGGGGTGAACACGGCGACTGTGCGCAAACTCATGCAGGTGAGCACCTCCCCGGCCCCCGCCCCCCCCCCCCAGTGATACCCGCGGTGTCTCGTCGCTGAGGCTCGGCGCTAACGAGAGGCGCCCGCTACCAACCCCGAGATGAACCTTCGCGACCCCCTGACCCCCCCCGAACGAGGGTTCGCTCCGATCAACAACCGGCGACCTAGGGAGGCGCTCATCAGTTTCGAGGCCCGGGTGGGCAACGTTGGGCTGGCCGCGTGTGGCGGGGTTGAGTGTGGGGGGCAAGGCGTGCCGGCCGGCGAGGAAGGGTCGGCTACAACGCCCTCCAGCAGAGGGGACGCTCGGTGGAGCTGCCGCGAGCGGAGGGGCCGGCCGTCAGCGGTGGCGTTGGCAAAGCACTCGCAGGGCTGCACCTTTACCTAAGATATTTTCTCGTGTAGCTGCGTGGCGTTGGTTGTGGGGGTGGTTGGTGGTGGTGGTGGTGGTTTGTGGTAGTAGTGGCGGTTAGTGGTGACGGTTGTGGCGGTGGCTGGTGGTGGCTGTGGCAGTGGTTGGTGGTGGTGGTTGTTGGTGACGGTGGTGGCGGTGGTGGCGGCGGCGGTGGTGGCATTTCCTCTTGTCACCTGCTGAACTCTGACCCATGTGCGTGTGTGCTTATGACCCCGTGACCCCGTGACCCCCTGCCCCTCAGGTCGTCGCCCTGGGTAACTCGTGCCTGTTTGCGAGCATCATGTGCCGCACGGAGAGCTTCTCGCTGGCCCTGCTGTTCGCCGCCATCTCCATCGGATCGCAGTCCTTCCACCTGAGGTGCCTCGCGCCCACCCGCGATCCGTGGACATTACATTCTTTTTTACTTCCCCAAGTTCCCCCCCCCCCTTCCCCCCACGAGACTAAAGAATCCCTTTGGAAATCTCGCAGGGTGGTGGTTGTGGTGGCGGTGATAGTGACGGTGGTGCCGGTGGCGGCGATGGAGGTGGTTTTGGAGGTGGTGACGGTGGCGGCGGTGGTGGTGGCGTCAGTAGTGGTGGTGGTGGTAGTGACGGTGGTGGTGGCGGTGGTGGCGGCGGTGGTGGTCGTGCCATCCCATAGCAAGAAGCAGTGGGGCCCAGGTTCGATTCCCTGCCTCCCAGTGCCTGTTTGCGTTGATTCGTGATTGTTTTTCGTGGGTAGGGCCCCGTGTAATGATCTGGCCAAGTTTTGTGTTGTAAAACCCCTCCACCGCCCGACATCGCCAAACAAATTAAATTGCCACGCGCACCAAGCGTTACACGGGTACCCGGTGCGGTGTGTAGTCAACATCGTCGCTAGGGAGACAAAGGCGGTCGGGCGTGGTGCTGACCACTCACCCCTGTCGCTGCGCCGGCCTTCGTAGGCGCCGCTGCTCGCTAACAGCACTTGTCCCGGTTGTCCGTGGAAGGCTATACAGGGGATCTTTGTTTTTGTGCGTGTGTGTGCAGTGGCGTGTCGGTCAACGTGCAGGACCTGGCCCCCTCTTGCTCCGGTGCCCTCTTTGGTTTGTCACTCCACCCTCACCATTTCACCGCGGTCAAAACTGACCGCGGTGATTTACTGCTCATCCGAATGTGAAGTTATTGTTCTGCATCTACATCATACATTCCACATTTCTATGGCCGGAGCGAGTTTGTCCCACACCTCCGATTAACATGGTTGGCTATGTACGGTGCGAAAGAAGTTCAAACATACATGCCGATTTTATTGGCCCCAGAGCGAGCGATGACGTGCCGAGTCAACTCCCGCCCCAGCCCGGGTTTGAACTCGTGACATTCTGACTGCGACCCGCTCGTTCTACCACTGAGCCACACAAAAAGCTGAGCTGATAGTTACACAGTATACACGTTTACAGCTATATATATAAACACACACATATATATAGCTATACACATACGTAATAAACCATGTAATCATATTGCCAAAATCTGAGATGCTAAGCAGCTTTGAGCCTGGTTAGTATCTGGATGGGTGACATGTTCCAAGGCTAGCTAGGTGTAGACTGGACATGTGGTGTTTATTATTCAATGTTGTTGTTGTTGATGTTATAGTTTGTTTTATTTACCCTAACTCATTGGCTGAGACCTGGGTTGCATCGGGAGTGATCAAACATCACAACATATATAGTTTAAAACATTTCAATTTCACAAAAGGTGAACTACATTTAACAATAAATGAAGACGGTACAATGCGAATAAGGCTAGGTAAAAAAAAAGTTAATTGCACTTAAAACCGTAAGTATGCTTAACTCTAGATTTGAAGCTTTCGTGACTGCAAGGATTCATACTCTTAGGTTTTTTCGGTAAAATCACGTAGGTAAAAAAATATAAAATAATAAAATAATAATAAATTAAAATAAATCAATTATAAATAAATTTTTACACCTGATGAAGGAAGCTTGTGTTGCCTCCGAAACGTCGTGATTTAATTGATTTATTTTCATTTATTATTATTTTATTTTTATCATTATTTTTTACCTACGTGACTTTACCGAAAACACATAAGAGTAGTATGATTAACATTTTAATAATAAATATATTTGCCAAATTTGAAATATACACCGCATTTTACTCAATTGAGATCACGCCCAGCAGTAGCAATCATCGCCCCCCCCACCCCTACTGGCAGACTGATGCCCGCTTGTAGCCCATGTGCTGAGCTACATTGCGCCACACAGAGGGACAGCTGCCACTGGGGGTGCCCGACTCTCTAGCACGTCGAGCCGAGATGCGAGATGCAAAGCGCCGTCTTTCTTGAGGCGCCCCGGCTCACGCGGAGGGCTCTCCATTTAGACAAAAAAATCATCAATCACCCTCGTGCGCGACCACGGTTTCGTGGGAGTTGTGTTTCTTTGGCTGCTCAACGATCGTAACTCCGCGCTCGGTGTCTCCCGCAGGGATCATGAACACTGCGGGCGCGTTGCCGGGTGAGTCCCAGACTAAAACGCCCCAGACGTCGCCCGGCCGAGTTAGACACTGCGGCCGTGACGTTGAAAACTCATTTCTCTAGAGCTGCTCGTTGATGTGTTTAGTCATTGTTGCACCCCCCCCCGTACCTCCGATTGGCACGGTCGGCTACGTACGGGTGCCCAATAAGTTCAAAGTTCATGCAGAGGCTCGCGGTTTTCGGGCGCCCCGGTAAATACCGCGTCGGTGAGCGTGCGCGTTCCCGCGGTGGAAGTTAACCGGTCGCGTGACGTCGTTGGAGCGGGGGAAACCGGCGGAGGCCGGCGCCGGCAAACACGTTGAGCAAAACGACGACAAGGCCGCGGATTTGACTCGCTCGGTTTAAACCGCTTGTCCACATCCGGCTCCCTCCTTTACTGTCACTCCACATTCCTGTGGCGGGGGGGCGGGGGGTGCTGGAGGATGGGGCGAGTCTCCCAATGGCACAACGACCACTGTTGACTTCCTGCACAAAGTGGTAATCGTTTTAACGACCCAGCAGGGTTGGAGGACGGAGGGATGATGGTGGGCCCCATCCAACCAGGATGTGAACTCTCTCCCCGTCCGGTCGCGAGCCTCTCACTCTCCTAATGCCACCCCCCCCGCCCCCCACGATATGTTTAGGCGTCCCGCCCCCCCCCCCCACCACATTTGAGTGGGGTGTCCGTCACCGGATCACCGCGTGTGTGTCCGTATGCATGGGACCTTTTTGCCAGTGTCAAAATAATGAAAAATATAGAACAATAGGGCTCTACCCTTTCTGAAAATGAAAGAAGAGTTGTTAAGATGCCCCAACTGCTCAACCTGAGCTATTACTATTTAGATAATTGCATTCCCTCCGTAGTGTTTGCCAGTTGCCGTTGTTCTCTGGACTAGCACCGGCGGTGAGGCAAGGCCGTGCTCTAGGCCAATGGCTTCCAAGGACAATGCAGATGTTATTATCGGAGCGCGTTGTTTGTGTGTTTCGCCACAAGCGCGTGTGGCTCATGCAGACCTGGTGCCTTGCGCTAACAGGTGTGTGTCCATTTGTTGTTTGAACATCTTAACGCCTGTTCTAGTGCCAGAGAGGGTGAAGCCTGTTCTTATTGTTGCATCATTTTGATACTGGCAAAAAGGTCCCAAGGATGTAACTGCTCATCCCGAGCTGCCAATGCTCTGACACCTGCATTGCCCTCGTGCCGTTCGCCTGTTGGCGTTCTCTGGTCTAACACTGGCGGTGAGACGGGGCCATCAAGAAGGCCAATCAGTTTCACAGGCAACGCACACATTGTTAACGGAGCACGTCTTTTCTCGCGCGTTTTGCACCTTACAAGCCACGCAGTGCGCCTTTTGGCGTCACCTGGTCCAACCCATGTGAGACTAGGCTCTAAGGAAAGCTGTCTCGGGTGTGGACCAATCAACTTCAAGGACAGTGCACATTATCAGAGTTATGTTATTTGTTTGCATTATGACTGCAGGTATTGTGGTCTATGCAAACATGACTCCTTGTAAAAAAAAAAAGGTGTCAGTTTTGTTGCCAGATAGAAGGGTAAAAAACCAATTATCAAGCCACGCAGACTTGACGCCTTGCAACAATCGCCGTGTCTGTTTGGTGTTTGTGCCTCCCGCCCGCGTCGCCACGCCCAGGCTTCTTCGGGGTGTACGTGGCAGGCTACATGGTGCAGACCACGGGCTCTTGGACGTCGGTGTTCAACTACCTGACGGCCGTCAACATCTTCGGCCTCTCCTTCTTCCTCATCTTCGGCAAGGCCAAGAGAATCGACCTGTGACGGCAGTGACTACGAGGGTGGCGAGGGTGGCGAGGGTGGCGAGGGTGGCCCACCGTCGTCCACTCATCGCTGACCCATTCTCGTTGCGGCTCACCCACGCTCGGCCCTCCTCTTCCCACTTCCCTCTTCCTCCTTCTCTTCCTCCCTCCCCTCCTCCCTCCGCCCCTCCACCCCTCAACCCCACCACTCTTCTCGCCGTGTCTTCGCTCGTCTTTTCTGCGGCGGTGGAGGAGCTGGGGACTGAAGGAACCCAACGGTCGCGACCGAGCGAAACGGCAGGTCCACGGCATCGCACAATTCGTCCACGCGGCCACCGCGCGCCGTGCCCCCCGTCCGGTGACTCGGGGACGTTCATTCGGCCGTCCAGTTTGAAGTTTTTGCCGCGGTGCTTTTTTTCACGTGGGAACTTTCTTTGCCGAGCGGCTTCGGCAGGACAGAGGAGGTGCTGCTCTCATCTGTCTCTCTGTTGCTCTGTCTCTCCGTCTGTCTATCTCTGTCTCTCTGTTTCTCGTCTGTCTGTCTCTGTCTCCTTTGTCTGTCTCTCGTCTGTCTGTCTCTCCATGTCCCCGTCGCTCTGTCTCTACATCTCTCTGTCTCTCTGCCTTTCCATCCCTCCACCTCTCTGCCTCTTTGTGTCTCTGTTTCTTGTCTGTCTGTCTGTCTCTCCGTCTCGTCATCTCTCCGTCTGAATGTCTCTCTGCCTTTCCATCTCTGCGTCTCTCTGTCTCTCCGTGTCTCCGCGTCTCGGTCTGCCGGCACACCGGGGTACCCCGAGAGCCCAGCCGCTGCGTAGAACGTGGAGTCGAGCCTCGAGGTCGCTGTGACACGAGAAGAAGGCGGCGCAGGGAGAAGTGCACCACCTTGTGTCAAGATGACGCCACGGAACTCCTTGTGAAGACACCTCGATTAGACCTCCAATGGGGGGAGCGCCTGTAGATGTCTGGGAGTGTCCGTGCCGATGCCATCATCTTGCTGTATAGGCTGAGTCGACCCAGGAGAGGTCCAGACCGGAGTTATATTTTGCACGGTGAGGAAATTGGCGGTGGCGTCGCCAGCGCGGTGCCTGCGGCCTGTGCCAGGCTAAGTGCAATTTGAGGCTGTCACGTGAAGTGTGCAAGGCGCTCGCTGCTGACATGAGGTCACGGGACAGACCCAGGTGCCGTGGGTTGGCTGACTGAGATGGCTGGCATCGATGCACCACCTGTGCCCCCCTGCTGTGCCAACTTGTTGCATTTCAGTGGCCCGCTACTCTCACATGCACGCAGACACAGACATAGATCGAGACGCATCAAGGCAAAGATCCGCCGATTGCCTTTTCAGGCTCTTAGAGCAATTGCTGCTGTGAAGGGACCAGTGCCTTAGACTCCCCATTGCGAATGTTTACACACCACACCAGGTATGCGCCGCTCACCACTACATTACCGCTTCCCACACAGACAACAAAGGCACGCAAGACAGAGACACACACGTAGATGGACACAAAAGCTACATTGACACTTAGACAAAGACACATTCGAAACTAAGTGGCAGTAAGGTGACCAGAGCGCTTGTGCCAGGCTAGGTGCACTCAGAGGCCACGTCGAGTGTCAAAGGCTTAGCTGTCAAGAGGCGACGGGACAGACCTTAGTAGAGCCTTAACAGACTGTTGGGTCGAGTGCTGTTAACGAGTAGCACCGATGAAGGCCGGCACGGCACACGAGGGGGTGGGTGGCCAGCACCACGCCCGGTCGCCTTAGTCTCCCCAGTGGCGATGTTTACCACACACCGCGCCAGGCACTCTACTAATATTGAGAACGAGTCAACCAACGCCCCCTCTATCCAGCCAAACAGGAGCAGCCTGGGCACGTGGTGGCTGAGAATGCGGGCTTCGTGACCCGGCCAACGCAGCCTCGCCTGGCTGGAGGGGCTCGCCGATGGGACTTGTGTCCAGATGCGTCCAGACCTTTGCGAGGATTTATGAGCTCACAATCCGGTCTGGTTAAGCCCCAGCATGGGGCATATGCAGGTCCAGCCTGAATGATTCGAACCGGGGGCAGATGTTCCATTCGAGGGGTCCACGTTTTGCAAGCGTGGAGAAGTGAGGGCATGAAGCACTCGCACATGCTTATACGCGCATAGCCTCAACAGACTGTTGAGGCAAGTGCTGTTCGCGAGCACCTGTGAAGGCCGACATGGCCCAAAAAGGGATGGGTGGTCAGCCCCACGCCCGACCGTCTTTGTCTCCCCAGTGGCGATGTTTACACACCGTACCAGGTGCTCATTTTGTGGCAGAGTCGACCTAGGGGATGCCCAGGACCGGTTCAGATAATCGTCACCGGTATTGGTGGCTGTAATCGGGAAATCGAATTCGGGTCGCTGGGATGCATAGCGCAGCGCGCGAACCACCGCACATTGCCGCTCCCCACACGCGCACACACAGAGACACGCGCACACAGAGACACGCGCACACAGACACACACAGAGACTCGCACAGAGACACGCACACACAGAGACACGCGCACACACAGAGACGTACACGCAGAGACACGCACACACAGGCGAACACACAGAGACACGCACACACAGAGACACGCACACAGACACACAGAGACTCACACAGAGACACGCACACACAGAGACACACAGAGACACGCACACACCTGTACTCCCATTTGCCAAAAGCCTCGGTGCCTCTGTGTTGGTCTCAGTGCCCTGCAGCCGCTCAGCAGTCACCGAGTTGCCTTCTTGGAGTCGCTCGTGACTTCCCCTGCTATTTATGAAGTATTTATTGTGAATACTTTGAAAGTCTGTACAAATGTAATTGTATTTTTTTTTTCTCTCCCGGTTATAATTTGCAGCGCTCTTGGGGTACGGTCGTCGATGTTTTATCTGACCATACTTCACCTCGCTGGTCAAAGTGCGGATTGTTACTGCCCTGACGGGGGAGTCGATGAAGGGTCGCAGGGTTCATGGGCGAGGTGCGCTAACCACTGCGCCACCGCTCCTCGCTTGCCCCGACCCCCAGTAGTAGGGTGATTGGTGTGGTCTATGGTGTTATGTCTATGGTGTTGTGTCTATGGTGTTATGTCTATGGTGTTGTGAAGTTAACAGGAAGACACGCGGGGATGGTGTTGAGATTAAGGTAACGCTTCGTCGTGTCGGCCGTGGGGGTGGGGGAGGTGGGTGGTGGGCAGGGGGGAAGTGTTTGACCATACTTCACCACTCGGGTCAGTAATGATTTAGACTTTGACACGCGAAGTTTTTACGTTCACTCTCTCGAATGATTCATAGAGGGAGAGAGAGAGAGAGTGATTCACAGCGAATCATTCGTAGAGAATGATTCAGAGGCTTGTGGAAATCGCGGACGAGCGGGAAGGCAGCCGGAACCAGCGCCGATAATTTCCCAAGCTCTGTCCTACATTGTGATGTTTTGGCCAACGCCATATTCTATAATTTATCCCAACGCACGCTGGTGAAGGTTGGGCGGTATTCAATGTTCGGTTATTTGCAAGGGACACGAAGACAAAGTGAATAATATATATTTATTTCCTAGCAAACTCAACACCTTCGTAAATAACACTGTGGCGTTTACAATATGCAAATTATATAAGAGGCAACGTTTCGGGTACTGGCCCTTCTCCATAGCACATTGAGGGGCTAGAGAGGTAGAAGAGTTTTGTGTACTGTAAAGAAGGGCCCATTGCCTGAAACGTCGCCTCTGTTTTTTTTTTATTAAGGTCGCCGTGTTATTGACATGGAGGGGGATCAGGTTGTTGTTGTTGTTGTTGGTGGTGGTTGTTGTTGTTGTTGTTGCGCACCAAAGCGAAGAGTTTTGCCGTCGCCCTCCCCCGCACTGGAATCGCAGCAGAGCACAAAGACGGCGGTGGCGGCGCTGGCGACTCTTGTCGATGTCACCGTCTCATGCGTCGGGCGTTCTCCTGAAGACGTTGTGACTACTGGTGGTGCCGCCCTCCTCCTCGAGCTGCGCTTTACACCCCCACCATGCCCCCCCCCACACCACCCCCCCCCCACCACACCCACCACCCCCACCACCTCCACCACACCACCCCCACCACCCCCACCACCTCCACCACACCACCCCTACCACCCCCACCACACCACCCCCACCACCCCTACCACCCCCACCACACCACCCCCACCACCTCCACCACACCACCCCTACCACCCCCACCACACCACCCCCACGACCCCTCTTCACCCCCACCACGCCCCCTCGCACCCCCCACCACACCACCCCCCACGACCCCCCCTCCCACGCCCCCACCACCCCCCCCCCCTACACCACCCCCCCACGCCCCGCAACACCCCCCGCCCCCCTCGTGAAAGGGCCCCCCCCCCAGTGGCAGTTTTCACTTCAGCACCTGGCCTGTCAGGGGGCATGAGTTTGGCAGCGGTGGTGGGCGGGGGGGGGGCGATGATTGCTCCGTTGTCGAGCCCAGGGGACCCCCAGTGGCAGATTTCCCTGTGCGGGTCAAGGTGGGCGCTGCGGTGGCAAGATGTTGACTACCTCGCCTGGTATGCAGGAGGTCTTCGGTTCGATCCCGAGCCTGGCGCCTGCTGTATGTTTGGATTTTGTGTATGTCTCTCTTCCTGTGGTCGCGTGGATTTTTCTCCGGGTCCTCCGTTTCCCCCCCCTCCACATATCGACTCAACGTGCGTTTCAGAGTATTTGGTTGCTATGAATGTCCACACGATAAGCCACTTCGTTGAGTTATCATTTGTGAAAAATAACTATATAATAGCTCAATGGGCGCTTACCTTGGTAAAATACAAAAATAAATAGTTAATCGTTTAGTTTTTCTAAGGCTCAGCACGTGGCCTGCGAGCGGGCCTTGCTCTGCCAGTAGGAGGTGTGGGGGCGATGATCGCTGCTCGTGGCATCATCCCAAGTGAGTCGGGGGGCATTAGGTCCCTGATGGTCAGTAGTGGCCTGCTTGGGTGCGAATGACGACGGGGGCGGGTGGATGTTGGGTCTTTAACGTCCGCGTTTGAGTGAAGCAGACGGTTGCGGAGTAGTTGTTTACCAGGGCGGCCTTCTCTAATCGAACCGCGAAACCTCTGCCACGTCGTCGTCGTCGTCCCCCTCCACCGTCCCCCCACCCCCTTACGATTCCACCATCAAAATGTGAAATGCAATTACGGTAATCGTGATATCGTGAACGTTGATATCGTGTCGCGAGAAATTATATCGAGGCAACTATTGGGTGACAAGACGGTGGGGTTTTTTACTTGTCCTCTTTGGAGTCTTGTAATGTGCAGTGTGTACAGCACGTGGGAATCACGTGATCCGCGCAGTCGCTAGAGGCCGCTACGCTCGCCACGGTTTTATTTTTCCGCCACGTGGTCTTGTGAAGAGCGTCGATTGGTCGCGCGGGCCACGTGGCGCGTCACGGGGACTCTGTGACGTTCGGGCGTGGTCACGTGACCAGGAGGTCAGCGCGTGTACTGTACAGTGTAACCCTCTCCCGGGAACTCGGAATTAAGCGAAATAAAATCGTGCCTTACATTACCACTGGTGGAGTCGATTCCGCTCTGAAGTTTCTCTCCACCCCCCCCCCCCTCCACACACTCTCCTATCTCTCCCCTCTCATCTCACTCTACTCCCCTCCACACACTCTCCTACCTCTCCCCTCTCATCTCACTCTACTCCCGTCCACGCACTCTCCTACCTCCCCCCTCTCATCTCGCTCTACTCCCCTCCACACACTCTCCTACCTCTCCCCTCTCATCTCACTCTACTCCCCTCCACGCACTCTCCTACCTCCCCCCTCTCATCTCACTCTACTCCCCTCCACACACTCTCCTACCTCCCCCCTCTCATCTCACTCTACTCCCCTCCACACACTCTCCTACCTCTCCTCTCTCATCTCACTCTACTCCCCTCCATATACTCTCCTACCTCTCATCTCGCTCTACTCCCATCCACACACTCTCCTACCTCTCCCCTCCCAGCAGAGGGCGACAGCGGCGCGTGTCGGGGATACGGCGGCCAATTCACTCATCGACTAATTCATCAATTCAGCGATTATTTAGTCGACCAATTAATCGATTAATTCGCAAATTCATTATTTTATTAATTCATGTATCAACTCGTGCATCGTTGCATTCATCGATTCATTGACTGATTGGTCGATTCATTCGTCGATTTCTTTATAACTTTTTTCGTGTTGTCCCCCGCGCCGCCGATTAGCACGGTTGGCTCCGTACGGTGCGAAAGAAGTTCTACATAGATTCATACGTTCATTGGGTTCATTAATTAATTGGCGCGTTAATCAATGCATGAATTGATTTATTTTGATTCAATTGTGTATTCATTAATTCCAAATTAAATAGTTGATCAATTGAGTCCCGTTTCGATTCATTTATTGAGACATTCATTAGTGCATTTAATCAAGTTTTCGATTCGTTTCTTGATTCATGGATTAATTCAACATTTAATTCATAAGATCATTGACTGATTCATCCATTCATTTATCGATGCGTTCATCGATGTATTCATCCGTTAATTCATTCATTGATGGGTTCATATATTCATGAATTAATCGAAACATTGATTAATTCAAGATTAATTGATTCATTCTTTGATGAATTATTTGGTAAATTAATTTATTCCTGGATTCCTTAATGTCTTGATTCATTCATTTGGCATTCACTGATTGACTATATTCTCGGTTGATTAATGGATTCATACAGATTCTCACGGTCTCCTTCCCTGCATGGAATCGCGCGTTCGCTCCGTGAAGTGACGATGCCATCATTGGGGGAGGAGCGGCGGCGCAGTGGTTAGCGCACCGCGCTACGAACCCCGACGATCCGAGTTTAATTCCCGCTCACGAACGACAACAGTGGCGATTGTCTGAACCGGTCCTGGGCTTCCCCGAGTCAACTCAGCCTTAAACGAATTCCTGGTGCGGTGTGCAAAACAACCATCAGTACTTGGGAGACAAAGGCAGCCATGCGTGGTATCGGCCACCCACCCCCTCGCGTGCCGTTCCGGCCTTCACTGCTGCTCGCTAACAGCACTTGCCTGTTGCAGGCTACACGGGGGATCTTTGTCCCTCACCTCGTACGTCTCACCCCCCCCCCCACCCAGTGTTTGTTCATCGTTCGTGTCAATTACGCATCGGGCTGTGGCCTCTGCGCGTCGCCAATGATTAACTCGGCAGTGCCAGTCACCCTCGGAGCAGGCGAGGTGGCGGACCTGTCAACCGAGGTGCAGTGAACGGGGTTGGTGACCCGGGAGCTATCGATTTATCACGTGACAGAGTGTAATGTGTTGCACGCATGCGTGAGTGCGTGAGTCATCATCATCATCAACATCAGTACGCGATCGCTACGAACTAAACTACACTATGAGACCTCCTTTACCAGTGGCAAAATCTAGTAGTAGGTTTTTACCCTTTAAACTGGTACAAAACTGACACCTTTATACAAGGTATCATGTTTGCAATAACCACAACACAAGTAGTCAAAATGCAAACAAAATGAAACAACTCTGATGATAATAATATGCACTGTCCTTGAAGTTGATTGGTCCACACCCGAGACAGCTTTGTGTCAGTTTTGTACCAGTTTAAAGGGTAAAAACCTACTACTATATTTTTCCACTGGTAAAGGAGGTCTCAGTGTAAATGCTTACCCCGAGCTCTCAATACTCTGATAGTGCACTGTTTTGAGTTGTACGCCTTCTGGTGTCATCTGGTCCAACACCAATGGAGACTGGGCTCTAAGAAAAGCTGTCTCGGGTGTGGACCAATCAACTTCAAGGACAGTGCATATCATTATCATCATCAGAGTTGTTTCTTTTTGTTTTTGCATTTTGACTACTTGTGTTGTGGTTATTGCAAACATGATGCCTTGTATAAAGGTGTCAGTTTTGTACCAGTTTAAAGGGTAAAAACCTACTACTGAACTAAACTACACTTTTTCTTTTACCAGGTAAGGCTCGCTGAGCGATGTAGCTCTCGTTTACAGAAGCGGCCTGCCGATCACAAATGATAGTTCAACGAAGTAGCTTATCATCACGTGGACATTAATAGCAGCCAAATCATCTGAACGCGTGACGTTGATTCGAAATGTGGAGGGAAAAAAGCGGAAGATCCGGAGAGAAACCCACGTGACCACGGGGAAAATTTGCAAACTCCAAATATATAACAGCAGCAGGCGTCAGGGTCGGGATCGAACCCACGACCTCCTGCATACCCGGCGAGGTAGTTAACGTCTCGCCACTGTGTCCTGTTAGTGAGCACCGGCACAGCCCACGATAGAGTGGGAGGCCAGCACCACGACCGGCCGCCGTTGTCTCCCCAGTGGCGATGTTTACATAACGCACCGGGTACTAATTTGAGTCTAAGTCGACCTAGGGGAGGCCCAGTACCAGTTCCGATAATCGTCACTGGTGTTGGCCGTGAGCGGGAATCGAATTCGGGTCGCTGGGTCCTTAGTGCAGGGCGCTGACCGCTTTACCACCGCTCCCCGCACCAGGTTCCCACGCAATGGCCGAGTTCTCTTCTTTCTCCTCCCTTTTGTCGATTAACGTCACGACGAACCAGCCGGTGCGCGCGGCACTCACGATTGTATCCGCCCGGCAGAATTTACCAGGGCGACCGCTGAGATTCGAACCGCGGAATCCCCTCTGGCAACCATCGGCAGGGTAAAGAAAAAAACCCAACAATCGCCCTATCGCCCGGCCCATTCATTATGCTGAGCCACAGTGGCAGCAGTTAATCGACGACCGGTATCTATATGACCCGTTCTGCGTATCCATCTTCAACAAACACTGCGAGCCCACGCAACCTGTACCTTTTGACTTTGACCTCTGAGCGCCTGAAAATGCAATCAGCTGGCAGATAATTCACGGCCCAGCCGTGCACTATACGACTCTTCCTGGAAAACAGATCGCCTTCACGAGGTTGTATGATGCATATTTACAATGTGCGTGTATAAATATCCGCAGTGCTGCGAACCCAGAGCGACCTGAGTTCGATTCATAGCCACGGCCCA